AACCATAGAATTCTTAAGGTTGGAAAAAAACTCAAAAAGAATTAAGTCCAACTGTTAACCTAACACCACCAATTTCACCACTAAACCATGTCCCTAAGGGACATGGGATCCAAGGATTGTGACTCAACTAATTCCCTGGGAAGCCAGTGCTTGTTCCAATATTTGACAACTTTTATTTTGAGAAAATTCTTCCTAATACCAAATCTAAACATGCCCAGGCACAGCTGAGGCCATTTCCTCTCAGGAGAAGAGACCAACTCCCATCAGCTACAATCTCCTATCAGCTGAAAGCCTGAGCCTCCTTTTCTCCCAGCTAAACACCCCCAGCTCCCTCAGTCACTCCTCATAAAACAGGACTGGCCCCAAATCTGAGCCCTGGGAGCATCCTTGGTGTCTGTCCCCAGCTGGATGTGACTCCACTCCCCACCACTCCCTGGGCCTGGCCCCACAGCAAGTTTTTACCCAGCAAAGAGCACACCCATCCAAGCCATGAGCAGCTGGTTTCTTGAGGAGAATGCTGTGGAAGCTCTCTTCCACACAATCCAGGAACCTCCTAGAATGCTTCTTCTCTGCTGTGTTTCTGCATTTCCAGAGGGCATCTGGTAAGTTGAAGCTCCCCAAGAGAAAAAGGACTAGTGATTATGAGACTTCACCCATTTGCTTGTAGAATATTTCAACTTTTTCTTCATCCTGGTGGGAGGTCTATAACAGACTCCCACCAGAATATCTGCCTTTCTGGACTTCCTCTGATTTTTAACCAAAACCACTCAACCCTGTTGGCATCAGCATCAAGCTCTAGACAGTCAAAACATTCCCTTCCATGCAGGGCTGTTGGACCACCTCTCCTTCCTTCCTTATATCTTCAAAGGGATTTATAGCCATACACTGCAACTCCAGGCATGCAAGTCATCCATATCTCTGTGAAGGCAGCTGTGCCATGGTTTTCCAGCTGCCCAATGGGCTCCAGTTTCTCCTGTTGGTTGTCCCTGCTGTGTGCACTGGTGCAGGTGGATGTTGGGCTATAGATCACTCCACCTTTCTACAGGGAGAACTCCTAATTCCTGTATGACCACTCTCAGGTGCTTCCACGGTGTCTGACTCATCAACAACTCCTGTGACTGAACGGCAACCACACGGTCAGAGAGTTCTCTTGGAGATGTTGCTGGGTTCAGAGGTCTCCTGGGTTGACTATATGATGCTTTTATCCCCAATCGTCTCGTTCTGTTATGCTGAATAATAAGTTTTGCACCTTTAAGACTTCTTGCAGAGAGTGAAGAGGGGACAGAAGTGCAGGTTTTTTTCCAGACACTGCTCTCACTCCCCCACATTCCTGCTCCTGAACTGTGTTGTCTGTGGACGGACAGACAGTGGGACAGAGCTCCCCTTTGCTTTTAGTTAGTTTTAGCTAGCTGAGGCAAAGAAGTTCCCTGGACTGTGGTTTTTTCCTTTTTCTTTGGACCTGTTTAAACCTGCTCTGGACTGAACACCCAGGGGAGCACCGGCAGCTGCACCTGAGGCCCACCGGGCCAGGCCTGGCCTGCGACATTTGCAGCACTGAGGGACTGACCAGAGACTGAGTGAGCTGAGCTGCAGCCCGGGGATGAGGTTTCCTCTGTTTGTCATCTCTTTTGGAGCGGCAAGGGGTTTTATTGTTTAGCATTGTTTAGGTTTTGTTGTATAATAAACATTTTTTTTCCACTTTTCTCCAAGGAGGTATTTTCTCCCAGACCGGTTGGGGGGAGGTGCTAATGGGATCTGCTTTCCTACTGGAGCCCCTTTGGGGATTCTCTCCCAGATTTGCTCTAAACCAGGACAAGAGGCCTGCAGGGCAGGAATAAAGCTCTGGATCAAAACCCTCCGGCAGAACTGACTCTTTTCCTACACCATTGCCTTAAAGCTTCTCTGCCAAAGGTAAACCTGAGCTCCTGCATTCCTGGACTTGTCTCCAAGAGCCCAGCTGCAGCATCCAGCCAGCCAAAGGTGTATCAGGGGTGAAAATACCACAGCTGCCACCTTTGGTCAAGCAGTAAGAGTCAGACGAGCCCAGGTACATTCCATTGGCCTATATTGGTAATTATTCCAATATACCTCCACTGAGCTGTCAGACCAAAGGACCTCACTAGCACCATCCCCCAAGCATGCTGTTCCCAGGCTTATCTCTAGTGAACCTGGTTTTATATCTTTCTCCCTTCAAATTCAGTTTACTCTTCATTAAACACTGATAACTCCTGTGCAAAGATCCTTTTCCCCCTTTGGGACAGGTGTACCTCATCTGTCACCAGCAGGCCTGGTGTCATGAAAACCAACCCACAATTATAATTAACACAGCTGAGAGTTTGTAGCACTAGAAGTATGAAAGCAGAAAGTGAAATTAATTTTCATCTCCTTCATATGGTTACTTAACAAACCAGGCCTCATGAGGACGCATGATGTATTTCAACTAGAAAAAAATATAAAAAAAGAAGCAGCACATAATTACACAACCCCTTGGAGTAACGGGTTTGTATCCTTGAAAATTCTCCAGAAAGTATTCTAACTGTGTGAATCACCTCCACTATTACATTGCTGTCAGTTCAGATAAATGATGCATGCAAATACATGCTTGTACAAACAAACAGGGTCTTTATATTGCAACATTTTAATATAATTACATCATTGGGTAATTGGAATGTGCAGTTATATAAGTCTCACCTTTCTCCTTCTGCTACTGAATGAACTGCTAACTACTAAGGAAAGATTAATCTTTATTAGTGACAATTGAGTTAATGGCTTCTGAACATGAAAAGGAAAACAAATGCCTAAAATGTGGTATTTTCCGAGACAAGCAACTGCTGCTATATAAAAAGTTTCTCTACAGCAAGTCATTATTTTCCTAATTGTTTAAAGGAATAAGATGAAGTTGGAGAGTGTAAAACAAGAAGCTGATGCATCACTAAAAGTGATCCTTGTCACTACAGAATACAAGGATACAAAGCTACTACTGAACTCAGAAACTTAGGTTTGTCATTATTTGTGTGGAAAACTATTTATCAAAATACTGGTTGACAACCAGTGGTTAAAAATATCAAATTAAAACAGAATTTCCAGAGTCCTAGTGACTATTTTCACATTATCCAATTCTATGGAACTGTGTGAAGAGCAAGACAGAGACTGTAGATCTAAATCCATTTGTTATATTTGGCCATAACTTTCATGCATTCTAATAAACCCAGGGAGTCAAAGTTTCTTTCCAAAGACTCATGAGACACTGGTATTCAATTAGAAAGCACTGTTTTATTTTACCTCCTAGGATCTGAATTCAGCCTGATTGGTGAGAGGAAAAAAAAGAAGAAAAAAAATTGCATAAGGGAAAAAAAGTAAGTTGGAAAATTCTAATTCTGACTGAAAGAATTTAGGATATTTTCTATGCTGGGGCAGGGCTTGCAGTTTTACTACACATACTGATAACAAAGCATATTGAGGACATGGACTGTATTTGAATATGTCTGTTTTGATACAGGTACAGAAACTCACTAACATAGTGAGTTTCTTGGAATATACTGATTCTCAGTCTTTGCCTGATTTGTTATGTAGGGTAAGTATATTTGTGACCCACAATACAGAGTTAAAAAAAGGCTTATCACTATTTAGGCTTCATGTGGCTGATTGTATGCATTAGTGAGCAATAACCTCTCTCCACAAAGAACATAAATACATTCTTTGGAGACTTCTGTGACTTACTAAAGCTCCTTTTTCTCTGAATCTTTCATATGCATAAACTGTGAGCAAACTACACATTTATGTCATGTTCTTGCTTTTCATCTTTATACATCAAAGTGAATTGTGAGAGGGAACTCCCACAAGCAGGGTGTGAAGCCTGAAAGAATCAATGCAGCAATACCTGAGAAACAGAATGAAAAGTCATACTCTCTTTCCTGATCATTCAGCTGGCATCATAAAATTGTTCTATTGATAAAATTGTGCTCCATTACTCATTTTTAGCAAATAGATTGACAATATTTGCTCCACTATCAGGAAAATATACCTGTTTGTACAAAAAGCTTTCACAATAAAGACTTGATACAGAGCACTGGGTTATGACTACTGCATATATCACCCATCATAATAAATGAATTTATTTTGCAGCTAAGAATTCTTGAACTACTATATAAATTTAATCTTTTTTTTTAATCACTTATGGCTAAATTTTTCACAGTATGTTTTTCATCATTAAATGAACTAAGGCATCGATGGCCTTAAATCTCCAGCTTTGAACTTTCTGTCAAAATCAAAATAATGCACTGTGAGTGAAATTTTTTCACTGAAAAGGTCACTGAGCTTTAGAAGAGGCTGCCCAGGGCAAGGGCTGAGTCAGTATCCCTGGAGCTACTAAAAGATGTGTAGATGTGGCACTTGAGGACATGGTTTAGTGATGGCCCTGGCAGTCCTGGGTTGATGGTTGACTTGATCTTAAAGGTCTTTCCCAACCTAAAATTTTATATGATTCTATCAATACTGGAATAAAGGGTCCTGTCTTCCAAACATCCAATCAACCTCATATGTAAGAAATTTAAGACCTCAAGCAGACATATCTGTATTCCTCTCAATAATTGTAGTGAAGAAAATGCAATGGAAGTATAAAAACATAGTTCAACAGCCCCATCTCAACTAATTAATTTTCTTTCTCCTCAGGATTCTCTGGAACAATAAATACAATATTATCTTTCCTTAAGATTTTTTTTCCCCCAGAGGAAAATAACTGTAAGAGAACTGTCCAGGCATTTACTATGAAAATTTGCATCGTTATCTCTTTTTATTACCGCAACGGAGCGTGTTGACAATAGACTCCCAAATTGCCATTTCTTAATGTATTTGAAAGTAATGGAGAAAAACTAATTCAGTTAAGCTACAAAGAATAAACTTTATGCAAATTATGTAACTTCTATAAATATTAGATATGCTTGATAAACTCTCATGTTTGTCAAATGCCTCTATAGTGAATGCCTCTAAGTTTGGCTTACCTGCCACTGTTTCATGAGGTCCCGAACCATTTTGGCATCCTCTAGTGTCTTTTCTTTGTGTGTAGCATCCTGCAGGACATTTGCAGTTGTTTCAGCTTCTGTAAGCCAAGCAAGGAACTTTTCAAGATCCAGGTAGAATTGCTGCAACATTCTTAGGGCTGATTCCAGAGCTGCTTCACGTTCGCAAACCCTGCACAAGTACAAATAATCAAATACAGCGCTCTTTGGAAGAAAACAAACCTTAATCATTAAATCAAAATATAAAAAAGACACACAAAATATTTTTTCATGTACCAGTCAAGGTAAGTTTGCTGATGCATTAGCTAGAGAATTTCTACTGTCTCTTTGGCAGGTTCTTTTAAATATTTTCACCTGAGAAGTAGTAAGCCGAATCAGTCTGACACAAAATTAAGCAAAAGCACATCTTTCAAAGTACTATGCCTAAAATATTCACAATGGAAAATCAGAAGTAATTCCCTTGTTTTGTTTTAATAAAAGATTATTTTTTTTACACTACAGTGGAAATACTTGCTTATTTTTAGAAATCACAAAATAGTTCCTGACTATTGCATGATACAATAAATTAAATGATTAATTTTCACTACTTGAAACTTTTGGAGCATATGTTCAACACCTTAAACTCTTATAACGCTAAAGGTTGTGGTGAGCTTTGTGATTTTGTTTTTTTTTTTTTTTAAATGTATTATTATTTTATTTATAATTTGAATGTGATAAATTACAAGGATAATCTCTATCAATTACAGGATAAAATACAAATTTTAAAGAGAAAGGCTATCCTATCCTTGGGGAAGGTCTAACTCAGATTAGGGAAGAACACTAAAGATTTCAGCAACTCTGCTGCTGAAAAAAACATTAAAGCAGATCTGTGTTATATCAGCATTCATGTGCACTGTAGGTGTCATGTATTCACTGATATTTTTGCTTAGAACTTGAGCAAAATATGGATTTAGAAACGTGATTAACTAAGTATGACATTGTTATTAGCAAAAATAAGGTTACTTACCTATTGTATTACATGCATATTTGTTTAACATCAACATGATACCTAAATAATTTTTAAGATCTGAAAATACTTACTAAGGTCATTTGGTAATGTGCACTACTTCAAGTGGAATGAATGCACTTTGATGCACATCTTTGTTAAGTCTACCCATCTGTGGTGGTCTTCACATATCTCAATAGATTTCCTGCCTTGTTACTTAGGGAGAGACTAGGATACGAGATTCTAGCAGACATAACTTCTCAAGCTGTAATTAATCAGAGGAGGTAATGAAATTTTCAAGTGCTGATCTCTCTTTCTAATCCTGTTTCCTGTCGTGAAGGGGTTGTACTCCTTGGTAAGTGATGATATCACCCTAAACACCAGTTCACTGGTGGAAGTGAGAAAAAAAACCAAAAAAACAACTACCACAACAAGTTTTGCCAAGTGGCACTGACTTAACAATTTTTTTGACAAGTATATAGCTAAATTGCAGCAGAAGATAGTAAGAACAGAAAAAGTCAGTCAGAGTACAGGCAAGGACAACCACTACAGGAAAAAAATATCCTCCCTGAGAGACTAATGTTACAAGAACTGCCATATTTCTATTAAATTTTTAATCCTTTGACATCTTATTTGCTTTTCCCCACCATTTTGTTAAAAAAAGGACTTATTTTTCATTCAAAAACCGAGAAAGCTATTGAATGCCTCACTACAAACTCATCCATCAGTGTTTGTTTTAAAGCTTAAAAATGGACTGGATTTTCACCTCAGCTGCACCTGTTGCCACCTACAAGAACTCTCCACATCATGGCACTGCTTAGGCTGCATTAGAATGTGTCCCCAGGGCTGTCAGCAGGAAACACTCAGCTGCAGAACAGTGAACATGGATCTCTTTCCCAGCTTTATTCTATGTGGGCATACACATGGCTCGTGGTCAGGCTACACTTCTAATTTAAAATAACTGCAATGAAAGAATTTGTTGTTCTTTTTTTAAACTAAAATAATTACCTAGAAATGACACCTAAATATACTAGCAATGTGCATTAAAAGATAATAAGACACAGAAAATCTTTTACCTGGAAAAGTCCATATTGACCTATTTACCACTTTTAGCTCAAAACCAGCATGAAATTTATTCAACACAACTTGGAAATGGAATACAATTGCATGATCTAAATGTATTTTTTTCCAGTTCTTTAGAGCACAATTCTAAGATATGCTTTATAGCATTATTCTAATTCAATTTACAGTGTGCAGCATGGTAGTTAATAGCCTTTGCAGAATCACATAAAAAATTTTTTCTCATGCAGTTCCTTCATAATATGAAAGGCACATTTTTAACTACTATACACCTGCATTCCTATAAATACATAGCAATGCTCCAAAAATAACAACATTCTGCAAATACACAGTGAGATTTAAAAAAAAAACCACAACAAAACACAAGCACAGATATGAAAAAGATATTTAAAGGGAGAGCAATTTGAAGGATTACTCAAAGTCAGAATTAGTGTTTTAGAGAGACTCTTGGACTTCATGAAAAAAAATATAGTCTTTTATTCATCTGGGCAAAGAATGAAGTTTTTATCATGAAGAATCTTCTGGCACTTCTATGATGCACAGAAATCTTATGGCACATAATTCTTTCAGTCTACAGAAATGTGTTTCTTTATAAGCATACCAATACCACAACTCCACCAGAAATTGTGTAGTACATTGCATTTTAAATTTTGGTACAGCTAACATGCAATAAACATTCAGCTACATTGACTGTTCTGCAGCATATCAATAAACTTCACTCCACTTGGATTTCTCACTACAAAATTATGAAGATAGAATGAAAAAAGAAAGTCTAAACAAGAACAAAACTGAGCATCAAATCCAGCATATGCTAAATTACATAGAATCATAGGGGTTAAAGAAATATGTATATTGAGCAAGAAATTATTGCACAAAAACAAAATAATTGCTTTCTCTTTAGTCTGTATTATCCAGGCATGTTTGATTTCATAGTGAGTGCAAACAGTAAGAAAAAAAATTTAATGGGATAATAATGATTTAATCTGTTATACTATGATATGAAAATAATCAGAGAGTGCATAACCAAAGGCTTCTTATTCAAGGAAGAAATATTAAAGGTGGAATTCATCTTATTTTCATCTAGACTCCCAGAGGACAGGCAAACTACACTCCCTCTACAAAACATGGATGCAGTATTTCTGGAATTCAGTTTCTCCTCCCTTGCCTATACACATCTCTTGTACCAGATCAAGGTCAGAGTAAACTATTTCTCCTGACTACAACAGTAAATCACCTATAACTTTGACTATTTTCATTTAACAAAAGCTTTAAATTTTTTATGTCTAAAAATAGGCAAGCTGGTCCCCAAACATCCCTGTAAATTTGATTTTTAGGAACTAGTGTCATCAGTGACAGTGGACTCACCAACTCTAATTGTTGTATGAGCTTTGTTGCAGGGCAGAAGTTATGATGCTCTTTTAAGTGCATGTCAGCTGAAGGCTTTGAGTGGAGGGAATAATGGTTGCATGCCAGGGGAAGTGAGTCAAGCAATGTGTGAACACTTATACTGCCAGGAAGATGTTTTAAGGGTTTTAAAAAAATGCACAAGAAGGGAAAGTTACCAGCCTGTGTTTCAGGACATTGTTGTTGTGCTGAGAACTTTTAAAGCTAATATTTTTTAAACATAACAGTATACAAATGTTCATGAAGAAAAGGATGGTAAAATTAAGTTATCATCTCAGAATGTTCTGTAATTCTGTGATTGAAAGTATTGCAGGAGTGCTTCATTCAGCACTACCAAATCCCATCCAACACTATGAATACAGGGTTTGTAGAGGCTCTGCAAGTGTGAATATCAGATTTTTCTTCAGCTGTAGTGTTTGCTTCATAATTTGGAATGAATCGTTCACATTTTATGAGTATCTGTGTATTTCAAATTGCAATGCTTATTCACAGTATGAGATGGATGGTGAGGGTCAGTGTGTGAATAATGCTTTGAGATGCTCAGGTAACAGGCCATGCAGTAACTGCAGAGCACAAACTAACACATTGCTGTTCCCCAGGTATTTCTTTAAGAGCAATAAAAGTAAAGCAAGTCTGTATCATTCAGTGTTCAATAGATCACTAAATCACACTTCCATCTGCAGACTGTAGTGATCTGAAGTTATCTCTCTGAGACATAAAATAAAATATCCTGGACTACTGGCTGACAAAGCATCAGGAAATGGTTTTACTCCTATAGTTCATGTGGTTCTCTCTCTATAACTGTATTTTTTCTTTTCCAACAGTATAGTTCCATACAATAAAAAATAAAATAAAATTTAAAAAGTTACCTGAATTTCCTATATTCAGGCAACTATCACAGAAAATTTGAACTACATGCATCATCCTGTTAGTGGTGGAAAATGTTTGCACCATTTTCATAAGGTCTATATCCCTTTTATGTCTATGAAAAAGGAAGAATTGCAAATTTTGTTATTGGAATATTTCATTTTTACTACTAAATAAATTTCAGTCCTCATTGGTAACTTTTCTTCAGCTGCTCTAACTTGGACTGATAGAGAACCTATCAAAGAGGGAGAATAATTTAACCTCAGATAAAGGTGGAACACAAAGAGATGTCACAGATATGAAAATTAAATTCTAAAATAACTATTATTGATATAATTTTGAAATGCAAATTCAAAATAAATAATATTCATTAATTTTGGGATTGCTGATTAGAGAAACTTTTTTTCAGAACCCAGGTACTATCTTCTACAGTGCCAGTTAAAGTTATTGATACATGCTAGTAAGTGATGAATGTTCAGATTAACTCTGGACTGCCTGTTACAATATTCAGTGGGGAAAACTACATTGAGACAGCATTTTAAATACTGCTTTCCTGTGTTTTTCTGGATGTGAATTAGCTTAACACCACGGTAAGGCACACTTAGGATTTTTGCAGTAGCACTTCTGCATAAATGTGCCTTTTAGTACCATCTGAATAGAGGTACTAAGCTTTGTCTGTTGTAGATCACTGGCATATGGAAGTAGATATAAATTTTTGGAGTGATCTTTATATATGCAAACTTATGTCCTACTATCACTATTTTGTCTGGCTTGGAAAATGTTCTTGACCAAGTTGATCCTACAGTACTGGAGATTGCTCCCCTCTGTGCAACTCT